AGGCCCTTTGGCAGCCGTTTACCAGCTTGGGCAGCAGTAAAGGCCCTTTGGCAGCCGTTTACCAGCTTGGGCAGCAGTAAAGGCCCTTTGGCAGCTGGTTACCGGCTTGGGCAGCAGTAAAGGCCCTTTGGCAGCTGGTTACCGGCTTTGGGACCTTGTGCAAACTGTAATTCATTGCTTGCATTCATGTAGCACTTTTGCATCGCAAAAGAAATTTCCAAAGCACTTAGTGTGCAGATTGGCAACCACTCCACCTGCCACTGTGGTGTGGCCATTCTGTGCCAGCAGCCCCACTACGCAGGAGCACTTGACATCAGAAGCAGAGGAGAGAAACTTTCATCGCTGGAATTAAGGGGAGCTTTAGGGAGCAAAATCTAGCAGCGGTTTAACAGCCCTATTTTTCTGCAATGAGACCTTTTAATTGTACTTATGAAACAACATCAATAGATAGGCTCAGGTATGGGCAGCTTCAGTCCTCAAGGGCTAGAGTCCTGCAAGTACCAAGTACTTCATGTATTTCTTAAATAGCTGCTGTTTGAGACCTAAAAGACTCAGAGGTCTGACTTTGAATTCAAATATTGAGCTCAATTGAGTCATCAAGATCATGATGGGAATTAAATACTAGAGCTCCTGTTGTCCGTGACCCCTGCCGTCTTAAGCAGATGTCATACTGATGAGAAACCTTCCTTATACAAAACGTTTTTGTCGTGCAAACTTGGGCACCGATCAGCTTTACTACAAGTATAGGCAGATAGCATTAAAACTATGCCTAATTTCACTAGGCTTGTTAAAAGGGAAACATTCTTTCATCATAAAATTATTTAACGTTGTCCGCCAGTCATCACATGAGTAGTTCTGGACAGAAATACTTTTCAAACAGTGAGGAGTAAAAGACAAAAAAGCTTATGTTAACTACGTGGTCAGTAATTAGCTATTACGTTTGTTCTGCGTTTTTCCGGTTTCCTGTTTCACTCTGAGCAACTGGCTTCACAGCTTTAATCTATCGAAACAATCGTGCTGCTTATCCTACATGCAGATGGCCACCGAAGAGAGAGTTCGTTTTGAGTTTCAGGTTCTGTGAATCGCAAGTGAAAAGAAAATGCCCCTCAGCCGGAAGGAGTTTAAAAGAATCCCAAGTTGCTCAATTTCTGTAGAATTGGAGCCGCATGTCCAAGAAGTGACTCAGCACTGGAGAGCTGAAGCCCAAATCTTATATTTGTTAAATATATCTAGAACCATATAAATCAACTGGTCCCATTGCCGAGTTTCTTAAAGGTAAGAACTTGGGTGGTTTCGTATTTTTTCCTTGTGGTTTTAGTATACTGGATTTATGCATTATGTCATGTTTCAGAATGATCTTTTTTAGTGTTTAATTTTTTGGTACAGCTTTTTATGACTGCAATTACAAATCTAACATTTATTACAGTTTCACAATCTGCCCTTGTTAAGTGTGATTGGAGTACCGGCGGTCGAGCATTTAAAGATTCTTTGTGATTGATTTTGAAGGACTCTTCCACGTGGATTGTCATATTGATGTATGGCTCTCTGCTTGTTGCTGTGGGGCAGAGCTTCAGTACAGGTAGAACAGAAGAACAGAAGTCAGTATTTCTGAGCCAGGTTTTCTCTACCTTAAATTGCCTGCTGAGAACTTGATGCTAGAGTTAATTAACTAGAGTTAATGCCTCTAATGAGTTGTTCTGTGAGAGCCCATGCAGGCCTTTACCAGAGATTAGCTTATATATGGTGCTTTTGAGTGTGAAAACGTAAATTCGTTAGAGCTAGAATTATTATTCTGCGTTTTTTTTTGTTATCCCAGTGGACTCCTTTTGCCTAAGTAGCAAAGAACAGAGTTTATGTTTTACATTGTTTTAGACAGAGAACAGGAAACCCTTCCCATACGCCACAGGCTTGTCTGGGGCAGGTTTCCTAACCAGACTGAGACTCAAACTGGGTCCCTTCAAGAAGCGAATGAACAAAACTTTTGACTCCTTACCAAATGATGCCCTCTGTTTTAATAATAATAATTGCTTACACTTATGTAGCGCTTTTCTGGACACTCCACTCAAAGCGCTTTACAGGTAATGGGGACTCCCCTCCACCACCACCAATGTGCAGCCCCACCTGGATGATGTGACGGCAGCCATAGTGCGCCAGAACGCTCCCCACACATCAGCTATCAGTGGGGAGGAGAGCAGAGTAATGAAGTCAATTCATAGATGGGGATTATTAGGAGGCCATGATTGGTAAGGGACCTCGGTCAGGACCTCGGTTTTACGCCTCATCCGAAGGAAGGACCTGTTTACAGTATAGTGTCCCCGTCACTATAGTATAGTGTCCCCGTCACTATACTGGGAGTTAGGACCCACATGGACCACAGGATGAGCGCCCCCTGCTGGCCCCACTAACACCGCTTCCAGCAGCAGCCTTAGTTTTTCCCAGGAGTCTCCCATCCAGGTACTGACCAGGTTCACACCTGCTGAGCTTCAGTGGGCTGCCAGTTGTGAGTTGCAGGGTGACACGGCTGCTGGCATAAAGGCTGTTTTGCAGCCTTTATGTTCTGACGATGTGTCTTGATAATGGCTATAAATTCTTTAATGATGAGTATGTAAGCCTAGATGTACTCTCTGCCCCCATTCTCTCCCCCAACAAACAAATAGCACCAGGCAAGGCAGGTCACGAGGAGGTAGGAAAGGTCTTCCATCATTTTACCTGGCCAGAATAAGTCCTATGGATAACAGGTGCGAACAATGAGGAGAACATTTCAACCCCTCTGCTCTTTTCCCAGTCCCATTCTGCTTGAAGAAGAGTTTCACAACTACGTCATCTATATTCTGTTCAGACTTCTTGAAGTCAAACCGATTGGTTCCCAATGCCCGGAGAGTGCTCGTCGGGTAATGACCACGAACTCTCGGAAGCGTCTGTAAATTCAATAACGACGTCTGGTTTGTGTCTCGTACCTCAGGGCCTACGCTGCCAACAAAGAATCGCACGCCACGCTGGTTTTCCACAACCTCCTGGGGGAGATCGACCAGCAGTACAGCCGCTTCCTCCAGGAGAACAACGTGCTCTACCAGCACAACCTGCGCAGGATCAAGCAGCACTTGCAGGTACTGGCCAGCCCGCGGCTCGCATGCGCGCCTGCCCCGGCAGCACTTTTCGGACCACTTTTCCAACCGTTTACCTTGGCATAACTTTACGAATGTGCTTCCACTGGATATCGAGTGGGAAGCTTGTGCCTGTCGGAGCAAAGTCCTTTAATATTCCTGGTCTCTTCCCATCCCCCAAAATTTCTTTATTTAGAGCAAGTACCTGGAAAAGCCCATGGAGATCGCGAGGATAGTGGCCCGATGCCTGTGGGAAGAGAATCGATTGCTGCAGACTGCTACAACCACGGCCCAGGTCCGTTCCCATAACCACGCTGTCCTGAGCCGCACCGCGCCATGCCACACTCTTCCACTCCCCTGCCTCCTCATCGGGACTTAATCGGTTCATTTTCATTACATCAGAGGACCAAGGAGCCAATACGTTATCTTAAATTGCCCCCTTGGGGTTGAGTACAGTATTTTGAATTGAATTATTGTCCAGCATAACGTATTTCTCAAATCCCATTTTGAATGTGCGATGACCTAAATGCCTACGCCAGAGTAAGATTCTATCAATGCTAGCTTTATTTTAATAAAAAAAAATATCATTCAAGACCACTTCTGTATAGGCTTTATATTAGACTGTCTTATAAATTAGACACGATGAGAGGAAAGATTTTTCCTTTATGAATGAAAAGAACCTAGACAATGGGCGGAAAAAATTATCCGTGAATGCAGAGCTTCTGGTTTCAGTTTGGAAGCCTGCGTCATAACTGGTTTGAGGAATAAAAAGACAAGTCAAGACTTAACAGCGAAGTTAATTTTTTTTTTCCCCCTCTCCTGCGCACAGGATGGGCAGGCGTCTCACCCCACGGGCACGGTTGTGACGGAGAAGCAGCAGATTCTGGAGCACAACCTGCAGGACGTGAGGAAAAGAGTGCAGGTGTGGCTCTTGCGCGTGTTTGTTAACATCCTGGGTGGGGCGGAAAAGCGAGAAACGGGCCTTGATGCTGAAGGCGTCATTTCGTTCTACCACACGGGTGCCAGAGGCTGAAGGATTGCCATCACACCCCCCCATCTCTGCCGCTGCTTGTGCCTTTTACTGCACGGCTGAAATGCAGCTCAGTCCACCCCTGCCTGAAATGTATGAATATCTCATTTACAGCGGGGAAACTTGAAACACTACCTGGAGATACCAGGGATGGAGAAATTGGAATGGATTTGTATTGGAATAGAATTGGAAGATTCTTTTCTTCCTGTAATGCAGAAAATGGATTTGTCTTTCAGGATATGGAACAGAAGATGAAAATGCTGGAAAACCTGCAGGATGACTTTGACTTTAACTACAAGACTCTGAAAAGCCAAGGAGGTGAGGCGGTCAGTCATCTGGGGGTGCAAATCTGGAAGAGCTGGTGTCAGTTGAAGCCTTGCTGAGAAAAGCCGTGACTCGTTTGGGGAAAGCAGAGGAAAGACAAGATTTCTCTCCTTTAAGTCCATTTCAGAGGAGGATGTTAAGACTTCTGAAAGGAACGCCTAAGGCAATCTGCTGTTTTTCCAAGTGAAGTAATTCAGATTTTTTTTTCTGAATAATTTCCAGAAATCTCCCAGGATCTGAACGGGAACAGTCAGGCAGCAGCAACGAGACAGAAAATGGCACAGCTGGAGCAGATGTTGACAGCTTTGGATCAGCTCCGAAGGGTATGCAAGCCTGACGAGCAAGTGACTATCGCTTGTAATTAGGTTAATTAGGTTACCGTGGCTTCCATGCATTTCTTCTGAAAGATGTTCATTTACAGCCCAGCCGGAAGTGAAAGGATGCATGCAGGTCTTCTTGTATTTACTCACTATGGAAAGTTCCAAGCTGTTGAAGAAAACCGAGGAAGGCAATGAGATGCGATTGAAGTTCTCTCTCCTTGCGCAGCAAATCGTGACCGAGATGGCGGGGTTGCTGTCGGCCATGGACTTTGTGCAGAAGAACCTGACGGATGAGGAACTGGCGGACTGGAAGAGGCGGCAGCAGATCGCCTGCATCGGGGGACCCCCCAACATCTGCCTGGACCGCCTGGAGACCTGGTAGGCAGCGGCAGCCCACTTCCTCCTGCACTTCCTGTCGCCCTCCTCAGGACGCGTAAGGGCTGGGCAAGCACCACACCTCCCACTCGGTTCCATCTGCAGGATTCTAACCCCGCCGCTGCGTGAATCTTTCCACTAGCTGATACTTGGGTTACATCGAGTCCGGCACTGGAAAAAACTGACAGGTCCACTCTTTGACCCCTCCCACCGGTGAATAGCATGTACCTTTAGCTGCAGTAGAAACTGTCTGACTGTCTTCCGCTGTATTCGTTTTTCTTTCCCCGCCTCCTTCATGGTCTCTTGTGAGTATATGTGTATTTTCTCCCTTCTCTTCTGTACTTTTTGCAAAGTGATATTCAAGCCTGTCTTGCCTTCATTTCTCCTTATCTTTCTATGTTTTTGGGCTCATCTCCTCGCATAGAGAAACATGCTAGTTGAGCAATGTTTTGGGCCCTTATAGAACGGATGTATCCACTTCTCCTGCACCGTGTAGCACACTTGGGAAAAGCAGTGTTCTAAGCCTCCGTTCTCTCCCTTTCGCCTGCCGTCTCCTCCAATACTGCGGACAGGATTACCTCTCTGGCCGAGTCCCAGCTGCAGATCAGACAGCAGATCAAGAAGCTGGAGGAGCTGCAGCAGAAGGTGTCCTACAAGGGCGACCCCATCGTCCAGCACCGGCCTGCCCTGGAGGAGAAGATAGTGGACATCTTCAGGAACCTCATGAAAAGGTATGTAGCTATACTGTAGATCCCTGGAAAACTGTTCCCAGGATTGCTCATGCTTCCTAGCTGACTTTTGAGTTTTATATACATTTGGCATTGTTACTGAGCATTTAGAATTCTGGATTGAACATTGTGACATTTAATGTCCACTGCATGAATGCAGTTCCCATTCTTTTCATCAAAAGTCTCTGATGGCAGGGCAAGTTATGTCAATGCGATCTGATTTGTCCTGTGCATCATGTCTTTCCACTGGGTTTCCATCTTCCAGCCTGACTAAAATATTCCTTTTTCATGTATGTGGTTGGGCTTTTGAAACAATATATACAGTCCTGTAGGTAGAGATTTATTAAGATCTGGCATGTCGCTTGCATGAACCCACGATCATTGCGTTAATCAAAAGGAGAAACTTTACAGATGATTTCTTTAGCTTGTGTTTTGAGGTAATGCTCTTTCTGTTGTAACTTCCTGGACAACCGTTATCCTGAAATTTCACCAACATGTTATCCAACATGAGTGAATTTTACATTGCTTTTAATTTTGGGTGGAGCTCTAGGGATTTCCTTTGCATGTGTTTTTGCCCAGCTCAGTGGGCGTGTGTCTAAGTAACCCTCTCTGTGTTTGCAGTGCCTTTGTGGTGGAGCGACAGCCATGTATGCCTATGCACCCCGATAGGCCTCTGGTCATTAAGACAGGGGTGCAGTTCACTACCAAGGTCAGGTGAGTGTCAAGACACATGACTTCTCTTTCTGAACCTTATCTTTCCCCCCAGTTGAGCAGTTTGTTGTTCTGACAGCTAGTCTTCCATCAATCATAACTGGCTTAGAAGGTGAAACTTTTTCCGTGTGACCTATGCTTCTGTGCTTTATTTTGCCGTCACATGTTACAAATGATCGAAATAAAAGCTGTTTTTTTCCCCATTTATCAGGTTACTGGTGAAATTTCCCGAGCTGAATTATCAACTGAAGATTAAAGTCTGCATCGACAAGTGAGTAAGGGATTACCTTTTCTTTGCTATTTTCAAACGCTTCCTGTTAATGTATTGTAAAAGGCATTTATTTTACATTAAAGTGTACATGACACCTCTAATTACTAAACGCATTCTTTCTTTTAGGTTGTAGTTGAACCAGTTTTTAGTTTTTTGTAGCCTTGGTGCTTTGAAGTTAATTCTTATTGACACAAGAGCATCAAAGTAGCTCAGTTCTTTAATCAAGTTAAGACTTGGCTCTAAACAATGTTTATATGGATCATTTTTTAAAGTGTGAGCTTTTAAAAGAATTTTTTCTTACCCGTTGTGGTATATTCTGCCTTGTAGCTGTGACGGCCTCACTAACCTCCCTCTGTGCTCTCTGTTGACAGGGAATCGGGGGATGTGGCAGCATTGAGAGGGTAAAAAAACCTATGGTCTTATTTTTAAACTGAATCCCTTTTTTTTTGCATCTTCCCCCCCCCCCCTCCCCACCTTTCCAAAATTACCGGTGTTAACGGCAGGGTGAGAAGGAGATAGAAACCGCGCATAGCAAGAATTGTCATAAATGAAAGTGATCTGCCCACCTGCAAGCAAATTCATTTAAAATTTCCGAAAGTGGAGAAGTATGCAAACGTTAATGTGTGAAATAAGTGGGGACTAGAGGATCATAATGTTCAATACAGTGCCAAAATATTTTTTTTGGGTGGAGGGGGGATCTGAAAACCCCAATCCATCACTCTTCCTGTCTGCGCCGATGGACAGAATGTAATGTAGCCGTCTTTGATAAATCCAGGCTCTGGCATCGGGCAGCCTGCAGGGGTCACTGTTGAAGGGCAAGCTTCAGGTACTCTGGCTGACTTCGAACTCCCCTGTGCGTCGCGCTAGGGGTCACAGGTGGTGACTGATGGTGTCCGAATTCCACTCTGCAGACTCAAGAGCCGAGCTTGATCTGTGAATAGAGCTTTTCCCGGTCCAGCCAGTAGGGGGCCCTGTAGCCGATATCCTTGTTCTTAACAATGTGGCGCAGTCCAAGACCTCTGGTGTGAGGTCTTGTGTCACGTCTTAAATACCTTGGCCTCTTTCGTTTTAAAATACAGTTGCGCCAAAAAAAAAAAAGAGAGAAATGCCCTTGTGAGAATGCAACCACGCACAGGCGTTTTCAAGACGGGCTGAGACGTGCTTCTCTTTGATGACCTCTTGTCTCCGTAATTATTCCAGTTCCCGCAAGTTCAACATCTTGGGTACAAACACGAAAGTGATGAACATGGAGGAGTCCAATAACGGCAGCCTCTCCGCTGAGTTCAAACACCTGGTGAGTTTGCGACCGGCTAGCAGGCTGGATCTGAGGCTTTGAGGACGCACGGCCCCATTCTGTCGTGGGCCGGAGTGTGGATGATGGTACTGAGAGGGTGTCCTGTCTGTTTGCAGACCCTGAGAGAGCAGCGGTGTGGGAATGGAGGCCGGGCGAACAGTGATGTAAGTAGGAACGAAACTGAGCACGTGTCTAGAATGACAGAACATGCTCTATGTTCAATTGGTTTGGTTTCAATTGGTTTTCTTTTAACTGACTCAAAATCTAATTCATGTGTATGGAATTTATTTTTCTTTTATTTTGATAAAGATTAGTCCCATCATCCAGGCACTCTGATTTTAAGGTGTATGCCAAGGCTTAAAATACCCCCCAGATTAAGGCAACATTCCTTTGTAAAGTCAATGTTGGTATGTATCTGAGCTGTGTCATTAAGGGTTTGTTCATTGATGTGTAATGAAATTGAAAAAACGAAGATACACCTTCCGGCAGCTGAGCTTCTTTTAGGTGTTGATCTCTCTGTGGGTTATTTTGACAAGTTCAGTTCTATTATCTGACATTATTTCTTTGTTCAGGCCTCTCTGATCGTGACCGAGGAGCTGCATCTCATCACCTTCGAGACTGAGGTCTACCACCAGGGGCTGAAGATCGACCTGGAGGTCAGTGTGCAGACAGAAACGGCATCTTTCAGAGCTGCCTGCAGAAATTGCTGAAGCAATAAGCGACCTCTAACATTCTCAGACCTTATTCATAGAAGCAGAGTTGACAATGTTGTCTTAACAACTTTCTGACTCATGGAGTCCGTGTTCTTAAAAATGCCAGCATCTCGCTGTAAATAGCAAAAACTGACAGACCAATGCTCCGATCTTCATGGTAAATGAGTTAGGGAGGGGAAACGAGAAAGGTCTTGTAATTTTAGTGCAGTTTGCTGATCATCTGTCATTATTGCTTTGCAGTATATGAGCCTTGATTTGCACACCCTCTAAAGTCCTATGACAGAGATTCCCAGTTATTTGTTGTTGTTGATGGCTGGAAACATCTTTTAAAGTTACACCATTAACAGTTTTAACTTGTAGAGTACAGCTGAAGTGGTCCAGAAAAAGCTTAATTAAATAGCCCACTGGCTTGTGCCCTTTGACCTCTAGGTAACACAATGAATTGTATTAAGATCTTATTCTGTTAGAACGCCATAGTCTTTGTTCTGAAGAAAGAATTCTTCCTGTAAAATTATTTTGAAAATGCAACTAGCTGTTTTTCGTTGCTGGTGGTCTCAACTTAATTTGCATACTAGGATTCCTGCAATCTGTATTCATTAAACACATCATATCGATTTATAGCTTTAGTTCCAGAGATTAGATTTTCATGGTTTGCAAATGCATTTTAATGAGATGTTATGAATCAGTAGAGCTCGTTTTGTCTTGAGTTCTGCTGATAAGAATTAGCAGGGAAGGCAGTCTCTGTGTCTGCATTGAAACCTTACACTAATCTGTACTGACGCCTATTACAAAGTTCATTGTCATTGCCGATAAAATTATACTTGTTAACTATGGTTGAATGGGGTGAATTTCTTGGTTTAAAAAGCTGAGAATAATCACGATGTAAAATACTGCTGGCTTCTTTGTGAATGGTGTGGCATAACAAATTCATTTATTAAGGCAGTTCGGATTTAACAGTTTGCTTTGTTCAGGGAAAATCACTTTTTACAGTACTAAGCTAACACTATATTGTACTCGGGACACTTTAACACTGGATGGAACTATCATAAAACACTACAGCTTTGCTTAATTGAATATTGTAGCTTCACTACGGTGAAAATCCTAAAATGTTAACTCATTTGCAAGAAAAGAAGTTACTTAAACGCTACTGTTCACACACAGTGATGTGTGGCAGTGCTCTTTGTTGTACACAGTGAGGAAGTTCACACAAAAGCATGTTGCTTTTTTAATTTCCGTTTTCTTCAAAGCCGTGTCCTGGCAGGAAATTCCCAGGAGGTCACAGGGCCATATGGTAATTCTAATCAGTACAGATGGGTGTCATTATCTGCAGACTAACGCATCTTTTTCCTATGTCAGAGGTTCACCTCCCAAATGTAGGTTAATTGTAGAAAATGAGAAACCCATCTCTTAATTTTTAATGATTAAAGTATCTTAGTACTTTACTAATAGCTCCTGAAAAAGCTCTTCCTTTTCCCAAGTGATCAAGAGATATTATTGCAAATATAGCAGCAGAAGATGCCAAGGTAATAAAGTGGACTTGGGGCTCTCTGTGCTATTAATATATTCTCCTGAATTGATTTATTTTTTCCATAAGTGCTTTTAAATATCAGGAGCCTTCCTCCAGACACGATAGTGAGGGAGAAAAACTCATCTTCTGTTTTGTCTTTCTTCAGACGCATTCTTTGCCTGTGGTCGTCATCTCCAACATCTGCCAGATGCCCAACGCCTGGGCGTCCATCCTGTGGTACAACATGCTGACCAATCACCCTAAGGTAAAGAGCTCCCTCTAGTGGCAGGGAAAAGGGTGACTAAGAGGAATCTTGAGTGTTCAGCAAGACTCGTTCACCTAGTCTTATTGTCTTTTCTATTTGCTTTCAAACAAATATAATTGTTGTGCTATGCTGGTGCCTCACTCAGGTAGGTTTTGTACACTAAGCCTGGGTTATGTAAGGGTTCGGTTCCAGAAATCTTCGTGTAACCCTAAGCTCGGTTAAGCCAGAAGAAACCCCGTTTCAGCCGTTGTATGAATGTATAGGCAATGACCATTCAAGGGGTTACAGCCTCGCTGCCTCATTATCCCTAGCCCTGGCTGTGAGGGAGGAAGGAGGCACAGCAGAGAGCTGCACCTGGCTTTATTGTCCTGTAATGATTCACAGGTGTGTGTGCTGAGAGCAGGAGAGAGACTGTAGCAGCAGCTCACAGGCCATGAGACAGGGCAGGAAAGGAACCTTCTCCCCTGGAAAGAAATGAAATAACATTTTAAAACCCTGTGATTACAATTATTGAGCTCCCAATATCACATATGTTTAAAAGTTCGGGAACTTAGAATGACCTATTAAGGAGTTACTATATGTCTCATGACCCTAGACTTTAATGTTCTGTTATTAGACACCGAATAAAATGCTCATTAAATAGCCAAAATGATATAATCGCTTAGGTGTTTCCCTGCCATGACTGCAGTACTGGCTTAAAAACTTATATTTTTTAATCCTAATATTAGCTCGGGCTACCTCACTGGTGTGAAATCAAGGCGAGACCAAAGAGTAAAACAGAGACGCGTTCTTGCATTCGCCCTGTCCTTCAGCGGAGGGAATGCGCCCCAGGGCTGGCTCCTGAGTCCAGTGCCGTGTCACCTGGGGAGAGTAACGACGGCGTGCTTGCTGGGCGCACAAGTGCTGCAGGTTTTTAACAAGGCCTCGTCTCCCCCCCCCCCCCCCCAGAACGTCAACTTCTTCACCAAGCCCCCCGTGGCCACGTGGGACCAGGTGGCCGAGGTGCTGAGCTGGCAGTTCTCCTCCACGACCAAGCGGGGGCTGACCATCGAGCAGCTGACCACACTGGCGGAGAAGCTGCTGGGTCAGGCTTCTTCTCTGCTCTCGTCAGGCTCGGGCTTTTCCTCCCTGGTGTTCGTCTTGTCGTCTTCCGTGAGAACAGATATCAGACAAGGAGTCAGCTTGACCCCCTCCTCCTCCTTTCTCCCCTCATCTGCTTCTAATTCCTTGCTTTCTTTCTCTTTCTGTGAGATCGGCGTTGTTTCTAGGCTTGACGCTTTGCGGCGTCTTTTTATATATGCACAAAAAAGAGAACATACAGCGCAGGCCTTTCTTTTATGTTTTGCATTTCCTCCACAACTTGTTTCCCGGATTCCGAAAGCCTACATTTACCCTGTGGCTTTAGATTACGACTCCCGCAAATCTGACGTATGATTTCGGGAAATGCGCACATTCAATTTGAAATTATCTCCCGTTTGTACTGATGTCACAGAACGTACGGGAAGACTAAGATATGTACTGTTATGACTAAACGGTGAAATGAGGCCAGGGTAGTTCTGTGATTAAAAATCTGTGATTAAAAAATAGCTCTGTAAGACTTTGTGTTTATTAAGGTTTTCCAGCCCAGTAATGTAATTAACAAATACTTTGTTACACTAATGGTAATTGTTAAATACAGACAAGAAACGATTCTAATCCTATTAGTTTTAGAAAGAAGTTGTAAATCTAGTCTGTTAGTTGTGTTCTGATGGATTCAGGATTAAAAAATTGAACGAGAGTGTTTTCTTCTCAGGACCTTGTGTGAACTACTCTGGGTGTCAGATCACATGGGCAAAGTTCTGCAAGGTAAGACATTCCTGACAGATCGCTTCTGCACATTGCGAAGGATCTTTTAAAACCGTGCTTTTGAAATGTCTTCCATTTTTCTTTCATCCCTACAGGAGAATATGGCAGGGAAAGGGTTTTCATTCTGGGTGTGGCTGGACAATATCATCGACCTGGTGAAGAAGTACATCTTGGCATTATGGAACGAAGGGTGAGATATTAACACGGCCTCCTCTCCCTAACCTTGAGTCTTTTTCTGTGCTCTAGGTCACTCAGGCGCTCAGGTCTACCAGGAATGAAAACAGCTTTTACTGATATTGCAGGAGATTATTGCAAGAGTCACTTTTTAGGCAAGATCTGAGGTGATCTTTATCGTCTTATTCTTGCCCCAACTAGGTGGCAAATAAGTTCCTTAAATATGTTATATAAGGCACAGTCTGTTCCTGTGTTTGTATGTCTATCAAATATATAAAAAACTAGATGGCTGTCTTCCAGTTATGCACCTCTGCTTACGGGTTCCTGGTCACACGTAAAGACCCAAGCTTGAACCAGGAAGATTTATACCTTGTCCTTTTATAAAATGTTGTTTCTGTGTTGTAAGCGAACACCTTGTTCTATTTGTAGTGCTTTGATGAACAGATCTGAAATGATGCCAAAGTCAGGCGCTCTGCAGATTTTCTTGCCCTTTTCGCTACAATGCCAGAACACAAAGCAAAAGGCGTGGTGCACGGTTGTGACGATGTCCATCTGCGTTGATAGGTACATCATGGGTTTCATCAGCAAGGAGCGCGAGAGAGCCATTTTGAGCACCAAGCCCCCTGGCACCTTCCTTCTGCGCTTCAGCGAGAGCAGCAAGGAGGGAGGCATCACCTTCACCTGGGTGGAGAAAGACATCAGCGGTAAGCGGCCGCGGTCATAGACCTGAAACCTCGGCACGCGAATTTGGGTTCAGGTTGTGGGGCTCAAGGCACAGCTGTAAAAGCACATGAGTGGCGCAAATGCTCAGAGTTTGGTGTTTTCAACTTAAGAGATCACTGCATTATTTCATTTGATAGCGTTTATCTCATGACCTTCTACAGGGATCACCCAATGAAGGAAAAAAAAGGGTCAGTTAATATGCAAAAAAATATATATAAAGCAGAGCCTTAAAGAGTGCAGTTGGATAAAAGCAAGTTATCAGGCTCCCCTGTGCCAGCTGCAGGCTTCAGGGAGCTTCTTTTCTTGGGTGAAGCTTGCAGACTGTCTTCCTGTAATGCATACCCACTCACCAGCTGGCGCCTGGCCTGGAGTTAGTCGGGTAATGAACCAGCACATGGGCCTGAAGGCTTTGAATCGCTGGATCTCTTCCAGGCTCTTCCTGGCAGTGCTTTGGAAGACGGCGGAGAATTCCCGGTCTGACCAAAGGCTTCTGTGTTTCAGGGAAGACGCAGATCCAGTCCGTGGAGCCCTACACCAAGCAGCAGCTGAACAGCATGTCCTTCGCCGAGATCATCATGGGCTACAAGATCATGGACGCCACCAACATCCTGGTCTCTCCACTCGTGTACCTGTTTCCAGAGATCCCAAAGGAGGAAGCGTTTGGGAAGTACTGCCGCACAGAGAACACCGAACAACCGGATTTCACAGACCCAGGTAGTCGTTGATGGTCCTGCTTGGTTATGTACCACGGCAGACCTTACAAGCTGCTGTCCTCGGGGTACCGGGGGGAACAGGGTCAGTGCTGCTTGTAAGTGACACCCTGTTTTATTTTGTCGGCTTTTCTTCTTTCTCATAACAGTCAAGCCGGGCTTCTGACTTATAGCAGAATAAGGAAAAATGATTGACGGGCCTTTTTCTGCAGAGAGATGCTTGTACCCTGTATGCAGAGACGTGACAATTTCAACCTTTTTCTCTTTCCCCCATTAGGCACAGTCCCTTATCTGAAGACAAAGTTCATCTGCGTGACCCCGTAAGTATAGCCTCTATAACCATTTACATTCCATATGACATCTTTTCAGGGTGCAGCCTTCTTACGGCTTAACCCTTTCGCTCAACCGTGACATTGAAGGACACCTCCCAGCACCCCAGCCAGTTCGTCACGCTGTTATGCTGAGGGGTGCAGTTAGAGAAATGAGAGGAAATGTTAGCATGTGAGAGGAATACATTTTTTTTCCAAGTGATCCCAGGCTACCTAATTGACCACCCTTCCAGTCTGTTATTTAGCAACACTTTGATATAAACCAGCTTCTTATCTTCTGTACTGATCCTGTATAGAAACCAGGAGCTGGTTGCAGCAAAATTGTGTGTTAGAGTGAACTGGAAAGGGCTGCAGGATGAGAAGTCCTGGTTTAGGTGATCTGCAGCAGCAGAAGTAATTTAGTTAATGAAGTACTAAACTGTATGGAGCAAAGGTTTTTCAATTCTGGTGTTGGAGGCCCACACACCTGCTAGCTTTTATTCTAGCCAAGCACTTGGTTGTCCAATTGAACAATTAATTAAAATAGTAATAACAGGATTTATTTGACCTGTTTGACTGATTTTTAGGTCTTGGAGATGTGGCCTTTTAACTGTTGCGGTTCTTAAGTAGAATAAAATCCCCATCTTCTGAAAGAATTGCAACAATAAAAACTTGAAAATATTCCAGTTGGGACCATTAAGGCTCCAATCAATTGCTTAAGCTCTGCTGGGATGAAAACGAGCAGGTGTGAGGTCCTCTAGGGCCGGAATTGGGAATCCCTGCAGCAGTGGTCCTGACATCCTCCTCTGGGATGGAAAGGAGCAGCCAAGGATTGCCAAACCCCTGGCATAGGAGAGAGAGGCGTTTCCCCGGCGGCGAGAGAGAGATAAGACAAGTGCCTAGTGAGAAATGACCTGTTTCCACAGGTCCCCATCTGTGTTCATGGACATGCCGGACAGCGAGCTGCTGGCCAACGGATATTCGGGGTAGGGTGGAGATCTGGGGAGGGCGGGGGGGCAGTGGGGGGCCCGGGGCATGGCGTGTGGCGGTGCTGGTCTTGTGGGAGTGGGGGGCGAGTTGTGGGCACCTGAAGTTTTCTGTCCCCCCCCCACCCTGTCAGTACCGTGGCATTGTGTCTGGTCTCTGTAGAGCAAAATGAAATTGGCAGAAGCTGGGCTCAGTCTTCCTCTTGCATTTGGTTATTAAAAAGATTGGAGATGGGGTGGGGGGTGGGAGACTCCTGAGTGGCTTATCCAACAAGGTGTCCATCTGATAGTTAAAAGACTGCTGGTTTGAATGTGGGCTGTGTTGTTACCCAGCATGGACCAGGATTGCCGTCCAGCCCTGAAGGCGCTTGTGGTACAACAGCAGTCCCCGCAGTTGAGGCGCACTTTGGTGAATGCATGCGTTATTGCTTCCTGTCGCTGTCAAACCAGCACAAGACGGATAACAGTCCGTCCCAGTGGGGGTGCTGGAAAAAATGGCATTTCTGCCAAATAAGGAAAACGATCAAAAGCTTTTTGCTGCAGGGCAGAATATGTTCTTGCTCCGGGCTGTCAGACTTCATTCCTCTTCTGTTTTTTGTTCCCACCTGATTTCAGTTAAGTAGTTCAAGTATTTAGCTTTTGTAACATATAGGATGTTTCTTAAGGACAGTTGATCACTCAAAAAATACACTTTACTAAACTTAAAGGTTACTTATACAATCTTATGGAGCCAGGTTAGAAATGTCACAGTGGTGACCCAGTTAATTAGACCCACTGTGTATCTGAAAACCAGTTACATAGGGCCTTAAACAGAAGCCCCCCCAGGAACTGAGTGCGATACACCTGGTCCTGCTGGTTTCCAGGTGTTTTAATGAAAGAAGTGCAATGGGATTGTAATGCTGTGGTAAATTTGGACCTAAAACTGTTTCCCCAGCAGTGGGAAGTTTTAAATGGCTCCTAGTGAGGATCTGTAGACGTGATTCTCCAGTACGCCCATGTATCTTCTGACCTGCTGCATGCTGCACAGAGCCTTACGAGACAGTTACCGCCCACCGGGGTCTCCCAATGGCACCACCGCAAGCATACGGCTTTGCAGCAAATGACAGATCACCCGTTTTGCCTGAAAAGATGAAGGGGACCTGTCCTTATAACGCCCACCCTGCTCCACAGCAGACTTGCTATCAATG